TGTTCGTTTGGGGATGCCGGAACTTCCAGGTCATGAACATTAAACTCGCCTGAGATGAGCACATGACTGTATCGTCGCCGTAGGATCCTTTCCAAGGCCCATGTAAGGCGGGAGTCAAGCTCTGGATTGGGTATCTGGGGAATGATAAACCAATGCCAAAATTCAACTGTTGTTGCGTCTCCTTCGCAGACTGCACCAGAGTGAGTCTATGATCGTAAATTTCCGGATCGTCTACCGGTTCGCACTGCAGATCGCTACGGTTGTATAACATTACCCGCGCCCTTGCTAAGGCGATCGTTCCGGAGAAGAGACATACCATGCGTCGCGACTTCGGCGTCGGTACCTTGTGAGTGCAACGAAGTTTCTGCTACGAATAAGTGGTCCCAGGCTTATGATGCTTGAGGTAGCCGCAGTTCAGCAGACTTGTTCAGGAGACCTTGTGCCTTTGTGCACACAGGAGAGTTTCGATGTTCATAGCAATGAATCGGGCCGCTATTGATCTTTTGTTGGGTAGAACGATGGCGAACTCAGCGGTGTCAGATCCATGGATTCCACCCTTACCTATTTACTTCACTCTTTGTACTTAATGTTTTTGCCAGTTTCGCAGGCTAGCCAAGTGGTATTATCCGAACTGTTATCAGGAAGTAGTCCGACTAATTGGCTGCCCTCGTGTGTCTGCTTTGTGGATGCAGCTTTAATCCAAATCTCAAAAGCAAGGCTACTGCTTTCCACATACCAGAAGTCCAGCACTCCTGTTGACATTTTTCTAGATTGAGGGAACACTCACAATCCCCGGGTCACATCCTTTGTACTTTGGCAAGCTGCACAGCCTGTAGATGGATTACGCCATGACACTTTCCAGGGACAGTATCTCACGGATGTACCGCCACTGTTCCTGATCGTGGGTGGTCGCTTCGCACTCATCATCACCTCCATCCTCGGAAAAAGTACGCGCAAGGATGGGCCTGACCACGGATTCCTTCCGGTTTTCGTCCAAGTCGTGCTTCGACTGTCTGCGATCGCTCCATGTTAATCACATTTCGCATCTCGGCCTTCGACGGAGGCTCTAACCTAACCGTCCTTGGCTCGTCTTGCGTCACCTGAGTAAGAAGAGGTCCGGGAGCAGGGGGCCAGCTGAACTGATCTTGAAAGTGTTCCACCCACCGAGCCATACGGCGCTCCTTAGGATGTATCAGTCCATTCGCTTGGTCTCTGTTTGTCTCACTGACGCCTGGTTTCCTGGAACCAGTGGTGCGGATCAGCTGGAAGAGCTTGCGGTAATTGCCTACGGCTCCTGCCTCCTCCATTTCTTGAGCCCTACTGGACAACTAGGCTTCCATATCAGTACGCCTAATAGTCCGTCTGGTCACATTGTGCTCAGAGCCAGCCGGGAGGTTTCTTCTAGATTCCAACAGGTTCACCGACCTCTCGGATATCCAGTGACTGGTGCGATGACAATGGATAGTGCCACAAGCAGATGCTCCTGCGTCCTGCATGGCGGCCGAGATCCTATTCCACTGAAGATTAGTGTCATTAGAAGAAGACAGTTGGGTACGTTGTGCGTCTTGATAGGCTTGTCTGACTGAGGGCTGAGACAATTTCTCAATTGTCAATCGGTGGGGACCCTTGGTGCACTTCCCGGTAAACTTCCGAGTCGACGCAGGTACTGCAGTACGAACGGCAATCCAGGATGGAACCACGCCATCTGTAACTTATGGCCATGTGGTCAATTTGGGTCCATCGCTGGCCAGCTTCAGGAGCACACCAAGTGGCACTTCGGCGCCCACTGTGTCTAAAAGCAGTGCTACTAAGAAACAACTGGTGCTCTGTACACGGTTCCAGCAGACGCTCGCCGTTGTCAGTCCGTTCGGAGTTAAGTCCATAATTTCCACCCAGCTGAGATCCTGAAGAGCTCAGACGCCCTTGTTGTGCGTTCATATCCCCTCAAGCACTATAATATCTGAACTGGTAGCGCTGCGTAGTAACGCGTTCAGTTCGTGATGGAATGTGTCCTTGACAACATCTAAACTGCAGTCTGTGGGAGCATAAGCGGAAATCACGAACAAACAGCGTTTTGTACTACTTCGTGTATCAACCTTATTTGATGTCGTCAACCGGGCTGCACATAAACGGCTGTTCACCGGAATCCAATCAACCAACAATGGCACAGCCTTGGAGTTTAGAATGATATCTACACCAGCTTGACCCGTGAGTGCTGCATCAGCGTCTCCGGATGCGTGCAGCCAATAACGAGAGGATAAGCCGGGTGCAATTAATTCAACAACCCCATTGAGGATCATTGGTCTTAGATTCGGACACACAACACACATCAATACCCAGTGTGTCTAATGTGCGTGCGAGTGCAGCCTGTTGACCTACTTGTCTTAGAGTGCGAACGTTGAACGTCACCATGGAAAGCGGACAGTATGGTTTTATAAGGGACTGTTGCTGATAGGCATCCGATTCATATTGCGAGAAGGTAACTTCAGATGATTCTACTCCAGTGGCACTTCGGTTGCTGTCAATTAAGCTGGGAATTATAGAAGGAAGGTTAGTAATGGGGGTTTGGATGGGACTAAGAGAAACAGGTGGAAAGGAAAGAAGGGAGGCACCAGCAGTAGCATGTTTTCGCTTATCCGCCCTGCTGTATGCAGCAGATAAGGTGAGCCTTGATAATCTGCGCGACGGCCGATGCAGGATGAAGTTTATGTTTGAGGATAAGTCGTGGTTGCATGTTGGCTGGGATACTGTCGTGGCACCCAGACCTAGACATGTGGACGAGTAGAGTCCTTATCCAAGGCCTTTGGCTCAAAAGCCTGTCCGCAGGCAGCGGGGTGGCAATGATTTAGTTCTACAGAAATGGACCCCATCCCATTTCAAACCCGCAACCTGGAGGACCAGGAGACGGACTTTTCTGACCTCTCACCTGCTAGGAGTATCTCTCAAGATGCACGCAATGCACCACCCACTACAGCTCAATGGGTCAAAGAGGTACGCGAACCGTCGCACCACGTTAAGGTCCAGTCTCGTTTCGACGGGCATATACGCATACTACTACTACTACTAATAATAATAATAATAATAATATGTATATTCCTCATTGAATGAGAATCTGCGTCCATGTTTGGCACTTATCACACATATGCAGGTAGTACCATGCTCTAACGTGAGCATTGTGCAGCTGTGCGTTCGTCTAAGTCTAGGTTCCTGTTAATGTATATGTCTCACATGTGTGTGACTAAATTTATGCTGGATGGCATTAAAGAGCTATGAAGATATTTTAAACAGTAAGGAGTGCTTACGTCGCCTGATTGGTTCTATTCCACCCAGTGGACGTTATCTGGGCCGTCATTAAATAGGTAGTCAAGTGGTCTATCCCACAAACAAAAATCATAATCGTGCCCTGCTCGAGTTGGCTTCCGAGCTTTTAACGAAATAATCGCACATTCTCCCATAGCCTGATTGTGATTGTGAATCGATTCCACAGGATAGCATATCTAATTATAGAGAATCCGGGCAGTCGATTTCTGTGGTGAGAACTTCATTATCCACTTTTGACGCCACTGTATTGTTCGTTCGTTGCTTATGGACACCGGGTTCTGATTAGGTCAATACTTTTTCTTCAAATGTCAATTCATGACATGCATTAGATGCACCATTGCATTAACCCGATTGAGTCTGAATTAGCTTCATTTAACTCCACTGCAATTCATCTTGTGGTAGTGAAAAAATGTGCAGAAATGCGACAGGAATGTGTACCCCAGCTATACATGTGTTATATTGCTTTATTTTCTTTGTTGCGGAATACATTCACGCGCAGCTCCCATCCCAATAGGTCCGAGATGCTGTGTAATCTTATTGTGAGGTCTTGTGGAAACGACAATCCTCACAACTTGTTACGTCATTCTGATCAGAAACTCATTTCGCCTACTCTTTTATAGCTATGACTGATATCCAGGTAACCTCTATAGGTGTTTTGAAGCATGTCTCTATGGATCGAGTCCCCCGAACAATAGGAAATCTGAAGTGGCCGCTTCATCAGAAAGCTGAAGTAGAGCGTTTGTTCCTTTGGAGCGCAGCGCGTTTGCTTTTACTCTTGCAAAATTAAGCAATGGAACACCGCTAACATTGTGTTCGCCACAGCAAGGGGTTTTGTTTGTTTCAGCCCTTCGACCGATTGTGAAATTCAGCATCAGGTTTGGGACACTGGCTTCCACCCGATGTACAGATAACGGTAGCTGGATTCATGATGGATTGTCAACGATGAACTGTCTAATATAGGTAGTTTACACGTTATTTATGTCATACACCTGGATCAGAATAGGCATAAGCTGAAAGTGTCCATGGTGGAAAAATCGGTTTGTATTAGGTATATACGGCCAGGTTTCCCGTAAAATTTGAATTGTTGAGTAGTTCCACTGTGTAGACTACTACGAAGTTCTACACTCATCACAAAACTGTTGTAAGTGTGAACATTCTAAGGTGGCAATACGAATGGATTTAATCATGCACCAGGAAAGCATCTATTCTTCTCTGGTTGCTGGTGTCCTCTACCTCCAACAATATTACTGAGACATGTTATCCTAGAGTTGACGCATATTGATGAGATCGGTGATGGTTCTAGATTCTGGTTCTTTCTCATTCTCCAACTCGGTTTCAGTGAGCCGCTGGTTGGCATATGGAAGACTTTCGTGACTTGCAGACGTAGTAGTAATCGTACTACACCTGTTAAGTAAATAACTGTTTTCACCTCTTCAGTGACTGTTACATCTAATACTGTCATCACCACTCCCAGATCGAGTTAGATTTCTTTGAATTATAGAATAAGTCTACCTGTAACAAGCTCTATTTTACTAAGCGCAGTTACTCATATTTGGGCCTTGTAGGTTCGTTTGAACATGGACTATTCACAACAACTGATAGTGATGGAATAATGTTGCATCGTGTTAAGTGACCAGCTTATAGCAACCATAATTTCTGACATCGTGGAAAACACCTACTTTCAACTGTTGCCATTTCAGGTCGGTAAAAGTGCAGGGCCAGTGACAGCAGATTAGCCACGGCTAATCCACGTAGAAATCGATCGGCGTTTTCTTCCGGAGAATCAGATGTATTAGTTTCCACTGCGGAATCGGTGGGTCCGGGCTGGTCCAGTAGATGTACTTTAAGCCACTCGGAACAGTCCTGTGTTTGAACAGAAATCATGGGGGATATGTGGTCGTGATGGTGCAGCAGATGTTCACCTCATGAGTACAATGAAAAACACACTACCTTTCTTTTACAGTGTTATCTGTAACTAAGCCAGGGATAAAGTCTCAGCAAAGTCATGTCATGGATTACTGCCGGAAGTGGAAATTTGTCTAGCATCACTATTCTGCTCTGCAACTGCTAAGTTTCCCACTTCGGCCATAAGCTTGATGTATCGACCGACTATGCGCCTCAGCTGTAGTGGACAGCTTGCTTCTCGAAACGTAGTTGGGTAAATTTTTGTGTATTGTTATGTTGGTTCATATATGCGTCAGAACTTTGCTAGTTGTGACCTAGTTGAAAACTTGAAGTAACACTGGAGGCTCGTATTTCTGGCTTTAGTTTCTCCCTGAACTAAAATCCTGTGACCATAAGGAACAGTTATAAAAGTTCCCATCTTTAATTCCCATCATGTTTCGCAGTTGAATAACACCAATTGTACTTATACTTTAGCTAGGTGCCAAACCATGCAAAAGCATCAATTGACGCTCGTCAAACTGGCCGGATAAGGGTCCTTTGTAATGCACTTGAATTGTTTACCCCTTCCATCCTTTTTCCTGAAATTATCCATTTTCTCTAGTTCCACCGCTTCTGTAATCATTCGCTGGGTCGTTGCTTCTCTAAACAACTTTGAGAGTGCTTCATTACCCAAGTCGACCTAGTGGCCTGTGTAAAATGCATACATAGACGCAGCTGATTCCCTTGATAATGTCTGGTATCCAAAATTACGGAATGCTTCTCCTGGGTTGTAAAAATCGTATGCGCCGTTCTACCGCATTATTACATAATTTTACATACACACAGTATTTCCTTTAATTTTATAGCCGCAGTTAGTTACTCTAGCCTTAAGTAGAGGGAGCTTTAGGCGCACCGTGCTTGAACCACATAGTTGAATCTCCTGGAAGATCACACTTATATTCTCTTGGTTAGCAACCTCTGCATTGTCTCTGAATTTCCTTCCTGGTACGTAAGTTCTTCCAGCAATATCCCATTTGTTGTGGGTTATGCATCCATCCTTTATATTGAGGTGGAACTACATTGGAAAGATCACGCCAGTCTCAAAAGACTGTGAAAGGTTGGAGTGATACATACAAGTCAATTAAGTTTGCTTGTATATAGTGCGTACCTTTTGTCAAACTTCATCGTTTATGTGACTACCGATTTCGTTTAGTATACCAGTTTTGCTTAAAAATGGAAGGCATACATCTTTTATACTGCACAACAGACCAAACTGTTGTTGTAAAGATTGTTGTTATTGTCGTTGTTGTGGTTGTGGTTGTTTTGCTTGTTGCAAGTGTGCAACTAGTGATGACATTATGAGTTGACTGCTACATTAAAAGCGAAGTGGCATCAACTATCTGAGGTTACATGACTCAGTTTTTTCCCTAAAATATAGTTCAACCTGACCTGGAATGCAGTGAGCTACTGAAACTTTTGTATACTTGTAGCCTCGAACATGATAAGATAACAATAGTCAACTTTATTAATATGGACACTGTTTTGTTGCTGACATCTAAGTAGAAAGGAAAGTCGTTTCAGCGTGTTCCAAGTCGCGTTGGTTTTAAGATCATCCACGGTAAAAAATACAGCTTTCATCCCATGTATGAAGATATCATTATCTCGATAGATAAAGGATACTTTTGCACTCACCATTTGATATAGACATAAATGCTGATTTCAGTAATTGACTGGAAAACAATCAGCCGTCGCATCCGACTGTCGCGCAATAAATTAGACTGTGAATTTACTATGTTAGCAGCATGTTACATTGCGGTCCGTGAGGAAAAGATTGTGTCTGAAATCCATCTCGGAACCACGATAATTGGCCAATTCTAACATTACGTTGATGCTGGTTGAGCATTGGGTTGGGTATAGCCAAGCGCTTCACATTAAAATAAGATCCAGCTAGAATCCAGTTCACTGAAGCAGGGCACGTGTGAGAAAATCCTTTTGGTGGCTTATTAGTAAATTTGAGATCATCCCGGTTCCCTCAACTTAGCATACTGCCGTACAGATCGATCTAGTTCCAATTAAGATTGCGCTTAGGGCCTCAAAGACCCATTTCGTGGTTAGGTCAGTTAAATAAAACAAACATACTTGGGGACAGAGACGTGGTGCATCAAGTGGCGATGAGTTACCCCGTTATGAAAATGAAAGAAAATATAGTTATCTACAGAGTACGTAGCTTCTGCAACAAATCAAGTACAGTAAGGACCAGAAAAGAAATAGCTAGGCTTGTCGCAAGGAAACTTGGGCAGCAAGTATCAAGAGTCGTTCTATGTGAAATAGACGACGACGTGATGGTACACATGTGGCCGCTCTGGGGATTTACTTCCAGGATTACAACAGGCACAATAATACTAAGTTTGTTATTTAAGTATTACCCACTACTTTAACATCTCGTCTGTTGGTTACGCTGAAACCTCAGTTACCCAGGCGCAATAATGATAAACGATGCACGCCGGTGTAACCAGTAGGCAGACGTGAAAAAAGCGCACCATCCAGTCTATATATATATATATATATATATATATATATATATATATATATATATATATATATATATATATATATATATATATATATACGTATTTTTGTACATATATATTTGGATATTCCACAAACGAAGCAAAGAGATCGCGGTAGTAACCTCCGGTACGCTCTTCAGAGACCGTGTAGGAAATATTTGTCCTCTACCACATGGAAGATCGATGCTGTGGCAAAAATTAAGGCAGGTGTACTGAGCGATCCAATTACTCTTAGTTACATTACAGGCTGGTCTTACCATTGTCTTTTTGACTGTAAAGAACGTGAATTCGCTGCCGTAATCTTTTGCATGTACGCAGTTTAGGGACAATGAGAACACGGCAGATGTCTCCGTTCTTTACAAAACGGGTTCTTAAATGAGGAGGGTGTTCTACAACCGACAATTTAAACCAACATCTTCTAGGATTGATGTATAGGAGAATAAGGCGACTAGACTAATCACAATGCGTTGCCATCATCCTTTAACAACTACTGAGGGAGGCTGTCTGGTCTGGTACCGTATTGCGTTTTAGCAATGTTCGGTTCATTTGTCTACGTAAGCGGTTTCCAATATGTTCATTGCAAGTTATAGAGAAGTCCAAATGTCCTCTGACCCCAACAATTGGTTCGACACTGTCAGCTGATGATCCGAATTGGCTTGAGATGGCAGACTAGCGCACTCTGATTTCAGCTGAGGAGCTACAAGCCCATAAATTAGAGCCTTGCTGAAGCTCCTAGAATAAATTTTAATTGAGCGGACTTCAATGGTTGATTGTACTCCAGACAGATGCAAAAAGCAAAAGCAATTATCCCAATATCGCCCATCGTTTGTTGCTGAATTCATGATTGTTGCTTTGAGTATGGGTGCAATAGGCTCCAGGATACATTGGACGAAAGCTATTGTTTGTATAGAAAGTCTAATATTAAAGTAGCCTAGGGACAAGTCACGAAACTGGCTCGAGTGTGCTGGTTATTCTCTGTTAAGTACTCCACTTGAAAGTTTCATTCCCAGACAACTAGTAGTGGTGTGGCAAATGCTTTTCCTGTCCGGCGTGGTCGTAAATTCCCCCCCCCCCCCCGTGGCCGACTTAAATCCGTAGATCCTCACAACTGCGAACATCCCTTCAATATTTAGTACCATAGAACAAAAAGCAAGGATCTAATTTCAACGTTGCAGTAAGTGCAGTGTATTGGCATAATAAATAAATTGTATGTTCCTCGACGATTCGAGATGTTCCCTAAAAGGAACAAAACAAATCATGATACATACTTTTCATGCTATTGCATAAATAATAGTTTTAATATGATCATAAATCTTGATTTCAGGTAACAAAACTTAATCCAAATTGTTTTGCTGGGAATTTTTCCGGCTGTCGATGAACCAGTTTTCTTCACAAGCACACGATAAATGTTTGGGCAGGGAAAAAATGAAGACAAATGAAAGGAACTAAATCCTAAAAGGTTAAATGCATGTGTTGTTCGTAATTTAGTCGTGTGCGGAAGATACATGCACACTTTTCGTGCTTTGATCGCGAAAAAGTTATCAACAACCTTATCAACATTCAGTATATCTGCAAGTTCTCTCTCTATGGAGAGAAATCCAAAGTCCATGAGTTTTGTCTCATTCACTGCTTACCGAAGGTAGTTATTTATAAGCTTGCGTTTTGAGAAAGAGCGCTCACAGTAAGCAAGGCTAATAGGTTGCGCAAGCAAGATGCGCAGCAAGGTGGCAACGTTCGATGTAGATGCCCCAGGGTGGCATTTCTGTATGCAGAGTAAAACTTCAAAGGGTGCACTGATTTTGTATTTCTTTTTGAGGCATTCACAAAATACTGCAACCTCTTCCTATCGGCCAAATGTCCTCTTTTCCTAAATCTTTCCCAAATCTTCTAAGCGAACAGTCATAGTATCATCAAGCAGATTTGACGTAGTTTGAAAGTATATTTGTTTGAAAAGTCACGAATGTGCTAAAATCTGCGGTATATTTCGTCAGGCAGCCTGTATGTGACAGACAGCACTTCCCGTTTCAGCCCACCATCAAATTCCAGCGATGTATCACCATCCATTCGTTTCTTATTGCAGATCCAAAGCATTACTTTTATCTCCAATTCAGAGCAGTTCTTCTTGGATGCATCCGTCGTACCGTTCACCAGCTTCTCTCTATACTGAAGAAGGCTAACTCTTAACGTTGTGAGCTTGACAGTACTTTGAGGCAGATGCAGTTATATTGCTTGAAGATATATGTGCATCAAGGATTTCTAGGAGAACAGATCTCCAAAGCTTTAGGGACGAAATAAACAAAAATGACAGTTTCAAGTAGGGAACACATCACTAATTTTCGCAATCCTTGCTATCCGTTTTCCAGATCCCGAGAAAACCACTTCGTTTACAGCCTGTAACCGGACAAGCAC